TGTTGGTAAAAGTAACAACACAATCAAGAGAACGAGTTAGACGATCGATGGACAACAGGTTAAATGGAGACCCGGAGACATAAAGAACATTATCAATGGTTAAAGAAGGAAAAAGTTTAACCGTTCCAACACCATGAGATGATACTCTAGAGCCATCGACCGAGTGTAACGAAGGTAAATGATTAGGAGAGGATAAAGAGGAGAACAAAGATTTGTTACCGAGTAATATGATCGAGTGGCTCCTGAATCAAAAACCCAAGGACCAGGAGAAAATGATTGGGTCGGACCAGAAAAATATGTATTTGTATGTGTGACAGATATAGTGGAACTAGAAGACCGTTGATCCTTATACCATTCGAGAAATTTGTTGAACATAGCGAGACATGTCGGATGCAACAGAAGAAGGAAGATCCCCTGCAGATAAAGGTGGGGAAAGATTGGTCTGAACAACTACAACAGACTGAGGAGGACGACCATGTAATGTATAACACTTGTTAATCTTGTGACCTAGCTTGCCACAATGTTCACACTTAGGACGCCCTTTTTCCTGTTTGCGAAGGCGAGCCCGGTCATCACGATGGGATGTCAACACAAAAGAATCGTTAACAAAATTGGAAATAGTGGAAGAAGTCATGAAGAGCGGGAGAAAAAACCCTAAAACAATCCAAAGTAATTCAATTAACCCACGAAGCACAAATCCAAAATGAGAATACTAAAAATAAGTTCGCCAAGACTAAACGGTGCAGGAGACAATGGGACGACCAACTCCGATAGTGGTCATCTCAATGGCATGGTGGTCACCTGACCGAGACAAGCAAAATCATATGTCACCGGTAAAAAAAAATGAAACTCCGGTGAATTCTCCGACAGCGGTGGACCCGATGACTGCTCCAGCGGCAGCGGTGACAGTAACGTGAACTAGTACACTAGGTAAGTTCCCAGGAAAGAGAGGTGGGTCACTAATGGACACACTTAAATACCAAGTCTTTCCTTGTCAGAACCTTCCTAAACATGCACTTTCACACTACCAAATAAAATTCAATGACAAAGATAATTCTTTTCTGATGTAGAGGATCAGTTTACCAGCAGCGGTGGGGCGGCTCTAGCAGCGGTGGGGCGGCTCCAACAGTGGACAAAAGGCGGAAAAAAAAATTCAAGATAACCTTAAGCTCTAGATACCATGTTGAATATAGAGAAAATAGGATTTGGAATTAATTTCTCTTGTGTATAAATCACACATAGGGTGGTCTATTTATAGTAGAGAGATACAACTAAAAGAGTAACTGAAAGTAACAGAATAAATAGAAGATATTGTTTGATATTGTGGTTACCAATATCTAACAATATCTTAACAATATCAAATAATATCTAAACAATATCTAACAAGGTCAAATCAAAATAAAAACATTTATTCAAAACAAGCTCAATTCATTATAGATGACAAAAATGTAAAAAAATGACATATATAATGAATTATAAGATGATATATCTAATAAGACTTAGTCAAGTCATGAGAGTGACTCATAATCGACTGAGATATATTTATGTATATGAGGCTAAGTCATGTTAGGGATTTAATCCATAATCAACTAAGGTATATGTGGTTATGGGTACCCAAGGAGATATTGTGTGGTGTTAGTGTGTCTACTATGCTTGTGTGAATTCAATAAGATCTCAGGTTTAGTTGATAACTCTAATCAAGTAGACTAAGGTATCAGTATGTGAGGAGTTAATGGGTGATTATTGATGGTTTACCCTAAGATTGTGAGGTAAGTGTATCAAGATGGGTGGGGAAGCCAAAATGGTACTAGTAGTCAAAGAGTATCTAGTACAGTATCAATTTCAGCGTAGCCCACAAATGTTAGTCTCTAAGTTTGGAACATAGTATTGGTCTTCGAGAAGATGTCTATATGAGTTAGATGTAATGTGATGTACATGATGTAATAAGATATAATTGTGTAATTTTATGTGTAATAGATTTGATGGATGGTTATTATTTGAATAATTAACTTACTCTATTTTTCTTGTTTATATGACTTAATTGTGATGATTATGTTGAGTACACGGGAGCGAGATGATGTTGTAGGTACAAAGATTGTATATGAACTGTAACATCTCAATTCTCAATACTTGTTGATTTGTTAAATTTTGACAAATCTTTGTCAAAACTTTAATAATTAAATTATTAGGAATTGGGAAAAGTGACTATAGAGTTTTATGTTTGTTAGATTATTTGTGATTTTATGAAAAATTTTTGGAATTAAAAAAAAAATAATAATAATAATAATAATAATAATAATAATAATAATAATAATAATAATAATAATAATAATAATAATAATAATAATAATAGAAAATAAATTAACTTTTGACTTTTAAAAACACATTTATCTCTGCAATATCTAGTAGGTTCTCCCTTTCTCTCATTTCTCTCAAACCCTCCTCACTTTGAAGCTTGATTTTGAGGGGGAAATATTAATTTTCTTGAGAAGCTCAAGAGATAAGTTTGTTTCTCTCAATCTCCTTTACATTTCTACGATTTTATTTTTCAAAATGGTGCATTTTCAATTTTTATCCTCACTAAGCTGAGCTTGAATGGAAGTGGGAAGAGTGTTATTGTAGGTTTTACACCTAGGACACTAGAATAATGCTTAGAATTGAGGATTAGAAGTAGTTAAGCTAAAAAACTTAAGAACCCTAATTTGTAGGTCACTGTTCACTGAATTCTGGGACTTGTGTGAATAGAATTAGGAATTAGTATCTTCATGAAAGTTGTAGCCTTTTAAGATATCGAAATTTAGAAACTTGTTTCATATCAAACGGATAATTGTAGCTCAAGTTATGTCTATTTTACTGTCAAGTGTTCTAGCTGTGACGTTAAGAGGTTGCTTTATTTCAACAGCCTCTATTTTTTAATTACTGGGATTGATACGTATGAAATTAGGACTTGATTCCTTCATAAAAGTTGTAGGAAATTATATTCCCGAAATTTAAAAATTTGTTTCATGTCAATAGCTTATGTGTAGCATGAGTTATAGTCAAATTACCAAGACATGTTCAGAGTATTATTGTAGTTGAGCCATGTTGGAAACAACTACTGTAAACTGAAAAACTCATTCATTCTACAGGGTATTTGAATTTATTTCCTTCATCAATATTGTAGGTAATTAAGTTATTGAAATTTTGGCTCAGACCTCATACCAAAACAGCTTATATAACTCTAGAAAATTTTGAAATACTGAACCTTGTCCATATTTATTATTAGGATTCTTCCTACTCTAAGTGTATTACTTTCATTTCTCTCTTCCACTTGTATTACTTCCATTAGCATCAATTTAGGCCCTAGAAATTATTTTATAACTCAAAGAACCATAGTCTTGAATTTTAGAATTTTAGGCTATGAAGGAGGTGAGATTTTAGAGGTCTAATATGATTGGAATTAAGTACTTAATTGGGGTATTTAGTTGGAATGTAAGAGGCTACTTAGAGGTGCAAAGAGGAGACCCAAAGACTTGATAGATTATTTAATCAAGAGTTGTTCTTCACCAAGTTACAACATAAGGTAAGGGGTAAAATAATTTTTATAATTGACTTTTGCTTGAAATAGCATTGAGAAGAAGTTATTTTACTTCTAAGTTAATTAGAAATTTATTTGGAATTATTTGAACATTATTTCTATTTTTGATGAATTTTTAAAGTTTTAAGATTATATGAATTTTGTGGCTTCTAAATGGAGCAACTTGAGTGTATGTAACCTTGTATGATTATAAGACAAGCATGAGTGTTGTTTGAATCGATTGCTTAATCATTAGTAATTTTATATGATTTATTGATGAATTTAGATTGAGAATTAGCCTATTTCTATGTTTAGTATTATGTTAATTGTTTTAAATTCATTATTGAGATATATTGTATGTATGTTATGAAGCATGATAAGTAGAAAATTATTGTGGAGTGTTTTTATTAAGATGAATTAGCATGTTGAATTGCATTGTATAATTTGGTGGAATGGAGAAAAGGTGTGAGAAATGAACTATGTGAGAAAGAAAAATAATTTTTAAGATATATTAAATTGAATTTTATAATTTAATTATGAAGTGAATTTTTATATTTTTATTCAATTACTAAATATGTTTCAAAAGTATTGGAATAATTTTGATTTAGGAGAAAACAATTAATTGTAAGTGAAAATGAATTTTTAATAATTTTGAGGAAATTATTTGTAATTATTATTATTATTTAAGAAAAATAAATTAAAATTGAGAAAATTATGATTTTGAGTGATGATGAGGTGGAAGAATGATTTTGTGAAAAGTAGAAGTATTCTGGGTTATTTCTGATTATTTTGTAGGTGTTAAAAAATCTTGGGAATGTCCAATTTATAAGAAAGACTCGTCAAATTTTTTAAGAAATAGTCTAGTATTATTTTTGATATGTCGGTAGAGGTTGAGTCTAGTTGAACTCGGATCCAACTGAATAAGTAAAATTAGTCAAGATAAACTTATTTAAAAAAGATGAACTTAATTAATATTTAATAGGTTCGATACATAGATAATAAAAAAATAAGGTATTATCTATACCGATAAAAATAAAAAAACAAACTAAGCCATCGGAGATTAGAAAATAAAAAGTACAGGTAAAGGGACATATCTCTTATTCCAAAACATTGAGGCACAACGTGTTAGACGTATTTTTTCCACTCCACGTTTAAAACAATGATGGACACATACATCAGAAACCTGTTGGACACAAACAACAGCAGGAACCATAGAGAGCGATTTTTTAGGGACAGGAGACTCACTGGGAATCGATGGAATTCATTCGAGTCGCGGAACACTCTCAGCACACAACCCTAACCTTTTCTAATTAACCTAATAGCTTTTGTTTTCTTTCTATTGCATTTTGATATTTGAAGCGGAGCTAGCTCAATTTTTGTTTTCAATATATTTTGCTTTTTAATATTTAACTGTTCAGCTTATAGAAGAGTGTTTCAGCTTCAAATGGCCGTTGATGGTAGTTTCAGTCTTCATTCTTCGCTTCGGAGATTACTTGATCGTTGTCCAAAGCTACAGTGTTTTTTGCAGTTTGAGTCGCTCGCACGGAGGGGAGACTTGGTGACAGAAGAGGAACTAGTTAATGTGTTAGTAGGGGTATTTCTGCACCCGAGTTATACAATTCCGTTGATGGGTTGTTTTCGACCAATTGCTCAAAGTATTGTAGATAAAGCTGTTGCTTTGCTTGGTCTTGTGCCAAATTTGAGGTCTATTCCCGAGGGTACTGCTTGTGAAGTTGATCCCGACAGAGTTTTGGATGGAGTGGTGAATGTTATAGAGATTTTTAGTCAACAGGGAAGGGGTCTGGATCTTCATGAGCTTGCTTGTCTAGCCTTCTGTCATGCTCTTGACATGAGTCCCTTTTTGTTGAGTTCTATATTAAGCTATTTGAATTTTGCTCCGGCCCCATTTGTAAGATTTTCACTGAAACATGTTATGGTTGAGACCCAAGAACTGCATATTACACGAATATCATACCGCCTCCTTCTAATGGAACCTGAAATTTTCACAAAGCTTTGGGATTGGTCTTGTTTTATTGACCTCGTAAAAGACCCATGTAAATCAGATCTTACCTGGTGCGGGGTGCAGATATTGAGCGTTCTGCTGAAATTAGGTTATAAAGCCACTGAAAACTTAAATATTGGGGTTGAGGAAGCATTTTCTTGTGTATTGCGCTGGGAAGAGTTCTGTCAGGACACATCACTAAAGAAAGCTGGTTGGTATGTTGAGCCAACAGACTATGTGTCCAGTTCTCCAGATAGGACCATGGATTTAGATAATGAGAACTGTTTAAAATCCTCTGGCTTTATTCATCTGCCTGTTGGTTCACCAAAGTTTCATGAGTTGCAGCCACATTTATAGAGGCAACGGCTATCCACAAGGGATGATGTATCAATAAGTAATACATTTGTATTGACCTCAATAGTGAGGAAAAGTTATGATAGAGTTCTTTTGGCAATCAGCCAGAAGTGGCCTGTTCTTCTGTATGGGCCCTCTGGTTCTGGAAAATCTGCTCTCATTTCCAAGCTGGCTCAGGATAGTGGAAATCAAGTTTTATCCATTCAGATGGATGACCAAATTGATGGTAGAACATTGGTTGGAGCTTATGTTAGTACTGTGGATGAAGCTACTTTCTGTGGATGGTTATTCTCGGCAACAAAACTTGTGAACCCTTTTTTCGTCTTGTTGGATCCTGAGTTTGCACACAACTTGGGTGTCTCTTTTGCAGCTCGTGGTTGGATCCCAAGGGAGAAGAGGCCTGACCCAACAATCTTAGGGCTAGAAGTTTGGGGAAGAAAATTCTCCAACCCAGTATGCCTTGTGTTGAAAGATGATACAAATTCTAAAAATATTTAGAATATAAAATCTTAAGATGTTACTAGAATTAGGAATTACATATGATTAATATCTAAAATCCTTAAAAGATTCTAGAAATGTTTGAAAGTAGAAGATAGATAATTCTAGAATTAAGAAAATCTAGAATTATGTAAAACTTCTAGAATTATGAAGAAAACATATGTGTACTAGTAGAAGCTACAACATGATTCTAGAAAAAGAAAAAGAAGAAGAAATGTGTAGAAATAAAATAGTGTAGAAACAATGAAATTAGTAGAAAATTCTAGAATCTTGTAAGTAAAGTCTATAAATAGGCATGAAGGGAGTCTTTGTAAGTGTGGAAAATCTAATACAAGCTCCTACATATCGTGTAACACTTCTAACATCAATTACTATCTTCCCTCATACAAACCTTCTCCTATTTGTCCACCTCTTTCTAAAAACTATTTTCTACACAAATCTCACTACTAAACATCAAACCATCTTTCCTATCCTTCCTAAAATACTAACATTGCTGCAGGTTTGATAAAAACGTTGCGGCTGTAGATGGTTTGCTTGCTTTGGGCTTTGGCTTTGTGGAGGTAGGCTCTGTTACTCCTGTTTCCCAGAATGGCAATCCTAAACCTCGTATCTTTAGGTTGCGAGACGAAGGTGCTATAATAAATAGATCTGGCTTTAACAGTGAGGGAATTGTTGCAGTTGCGAAGAGGCTGGGCGCTCAACACGGTAAGAGGAAGCTAGATGAGACTTCAAGCTCTTCACCTTCTTCCAACAACGAAGTCAAACAAGGTGGAAAGTTGGCCCTGGCATCCTTGGTGTCAATCTTGGAAAGAACATGACAAGTGAAGATGTTGCAGCAGATTATGTTCAAGGAGTTCATACATTGTCTCAATATGTTGATTACTTGGTGATTAATGTTTCATCGCCCAATACCCCTTGTTTGTGCATGCTTCAAGGAAGAAAGCAACTAAAGGATCTTGTTAAGAAGGTTCAGGCTGCTTGTGATGAAATGCAGTGGGGTGAGGAGGGCCCACCTCCATTGTTGGTAAAAATTGCACCAGATTTGTCAAATGAAGACCTTGAAGATATTGCAGTAGTTGCCTTGGCACTTCACTTGGATGGACTGATTATATCAAACACAACTATTTCAAGACCAGATCCCGTCAATAAAAATCCATTGGTGGTTTGAGTGGGAAGCCTCTGTTCAATCTCTCTACCAACATCTTGAAGGAGATGTATATCTTGACAAGGGTAAGTCTGTTGGTTTTACTGTGTTATTTGTATATTGTAGTGAGGGCGGCGGACCCGGAGACGGAGGTGGCTAGATGTGAGCTATGTGCGAAATGCGCACTATGTACGAAATACGTACTATGGTCAGAATGTGACCTAGACTCAAAATACGAGCTATGTGCGAAATGCGCACTATGTACGAAATACGTACTATGGTCAGAATGTGACTTAGACTCGAAATACGAGCTATGTGCGAAATGCGCACTATGTACGAAATACGTACTATGGTTAGAAAGTGACCTAGACTCGAAATACGAGCTATGTGCGAAATGCGCACTATGTACAAAATACGTACTATGGTCAGAATGTGACCTAGACTCAAAATGCAAGCTATGTGCGAAATGCGATCTATGCTCGGAATGCGAGCTATGTGTGGAATACGCACTATGGACGGAATACGACCTATGCTCGGAATGCGAGCTATGTTCGGAATGTGAACTAAGATCGAAACGCAATCTAAATTGCAATACGAGTAAAAACAGGTTAATCTTCATCTAAATTCAAGTACTCGCGGAAGCAATTTTCACATTCTACATCAAGACGATGGTCACTGTAAGTCTGATTTTTAATGATTGTTTATTCCTTTTAAGTGGTTGAACTTTGCAATTATATCATGAAATATTAAGGGATGAAGTGTATTCGACGTTTATTTCGGTTTTTAGTCTTTGAATTAGAAATATTTTTCTAATTTAAGACTTGGGGGTTGTGGTATGTGCATAGAGATTGGATCTGGTTGGGCTCGGGTCCAACTGAATGAGTAAAGTGGGTCAAGATAAACCTATTTGGGGGAGATGGACTTGATTGATACTTAATGGACCCGATGCGTAGATAGTACGGAGAATAAGGTATTATTAGGGCCGATAAAGACAAAAATAATAAAAAAACAAACTAAGCTAATGGAGATTAGAAAATAAAAAGGGTAGGGGGGAAAACCTAAAGGGGACATATCTCTTATTCCAAAACAATTTTGAAGAAGTTAAGATGTGATTTTAAGTATAATGAGGTGAAACAAAGTTGAAAGAGTGTGAAGAAGTTATGATAAGTCATGCATCATGTTCATGAGTAAGAGATTGAGTGTATGAGGAGGATATGGAAAATCAGGGTCGGTTTCATGCTAACCTCGGGGATGATTAAGTGTGATCGAGCTCATATGTGGCTTAGGCTCACTACCTAAGTTGTGAGACTCTCACTACCAATCTTGATTATCCTAACTAAAACCCCAGGGTTTCTCATGATCAGTTGAGCTGAACAAGTAATTATGAGTATAGTACCGCGAGGCGGTGAGAGGTTTTAGTGAAACTCCTGATCCTTCTCGAAAAAAAAAGTGGTTTTGGGATCCCCATGGTCTTGCATACTAGGATGTGTCCTAGAAAAGATTAGTGGATACATAGCATTCATAATATCATATCATTTGTGTGTTGATTGCTAATATGTTTGTATGTGTAATTTCTAATTAACTCAATGTTATTTGCATGCTCTAAGTGAATATAAAGTTGTCTTGCCCTTTCTGTGCATGTATTGTTGTTATGAAATGTTTGCATAGGTGACGTTAAACACAACTCATCCCCGGTATCATCTCCAAGTAAAGTTTAAATACGATCGTTGCAAGTACTAAGTAAAGGACTTGATCGGACACCACTACATTGCTACAAGAGATACTTCATTTTAGTGGACGTACGAAATATATCTCCTTTTTAGTTAGGTTGTATAGTTAATTTGTCTGCTATGGTCTTGTGAACCTTTGTTAGGTATATTTTGGGATGACTTTGTGTATATTTACTATCTGGTTATACTTGATACTTATGAATGATATGTATATTAATCACTAAGTGTATGTTCTATTTATTATGTACCTTACTTCTACGAGTGTGTATTGGAAATCAAATACTAAGAGGAACCAATAATAAGTAATAAATAATAATAAAGTGAATGTTGGTAGTAAATGTGTCACATGAACAACAAGACTATACTTAGTATATGGATAACAATACTACTCTTGGATATAGTTGTAATATGAATTTTGTAAACATATTTATTTGTATTTTGTGACATTATTCTTTATTAGTTGTAATATGAATTTTGTAAACATATTTGTTAGAATTTTGTGATTATTTTGTGTGTGTGCACGTGTGCGTGTGTTGGACCTGATGGATTTAAGGGGTATTTTTATCAAACTTATTAACTTATTCTCGACCATGATGTGTGTGTGTGTGTTTGGACCTGATGGTTTAATGGGTATTTTTATCAAACTTATTGATTTATTCTCGACCATGATGTGTGTGTGTGTTTGGACCTGATGGGTTTAATGGGTATTTTTATCAAATTTATTGGCCTATTCTCAACCATGGTGTGTTTGGACCTAATGGTTCAATGAGTATTTTTATCAAACTTATTGATCTATATCATGATGTGTATGTGTTTGGACCTTATGGGTTTAATGGGTATTTTTATCAAACTTATTGGCCTATTCTCGACCATGATGTGTATGTGGTTGTCTTGCAATTTTTCACACAAAACTGGGTTTTATGACCTTAACTACATTGTGATCACTCTGATTCCAGAAATTGAAGGTGCTTCTCACATTAAAGGGAATCGTCCCATAGCTCTTGTTAACTTTAGCTATAAAATAACCTCTCAAATTCGAGCGGATAGATTAGCCTTGGTTGCCCCTAGGATTATTTCTTTGTAACAAAACGGCTTGTGAAATGTGGGTTTATCAATTATTGTATCTTCACTACCTTAGAAGTAATTAATATGTTGGACAATAAAGTATAGTGCTAATGTGGCTATTAAGTTGGATATTAGGAAAGCCTTTGATATCTTTAATTAGTATTCTTGAGTGATTTGGTTTCAAAGATAGACTTTGACGTTGATCCACACGATACTTAATTCTTTTCTACATTCTTATGGATGTACTTAATAGAGTCATGATCATAACACATTTTATCGCATAAATATGATCAAACAATCCAAACAAGAAAAATATGTTATAACTATGGAAAACTTAGATCATGTTCTAAATGAGCATTGACAACTTGTTTTACCTTTATTTCTCACTTGTAAAGAGTTAGGAAAGGGAGATTTTATGTTTTATGTTGAAAAACAATAAAGGAAATCAATAAACCTAAGATTCTTCAATCATCAATTTGCTTATTGATTTATAGACCTAAATGATTTATAGACCTAAATGTAACCACAAAATTAATCCATACAAATTTTAAACATTCACAATTCAATTAATTAGATCAAATTGATTTATCGAATGGGCTAAAAGCATATTTTAATTTCTAAGAGAAACAATCTCATAAACTTAGAAATTGATTTGTGATAATCTCAATTACATTTATTGTAGTGAATTATAAACGGTAAAAATCATGAAGAATCAAATCTAAATCATAGAAAATAAGTATTTGATTGAATAATCAATCTTAGAAAACTTAGAAACTTATAACAGAAAACTAGAATAAGAACAATAAATAAAAGTATAAAAATGGAAAAGGAAATGTTAATTGTAGAAAGTAAATGAAAGAAAAAAAGGAAAGGAAATCAATTTGAACAAAATCATATTAGGTTAATAAACATCAAGGTAGAGTTCGTACAAGTACAGTAAAAGAGAAAGTTACAAACTCTAGTGTAAGAACATGATAGAAAACTAGAGAGAATTTTGAATTCTACTAAAATGTGTAAAAATGTTTAATAACTTATGCCTTTTGGATTTTCTAAGTTTTATATAACAACGAACCCAATTAAAACACGCAAAGCTCATACAAGATAGAGAATAAATCAATAGGAAATAGAGATGGCAAAATCGGCTAGGCCAACGGGTCAACCCACTAGCCTGAATTAAAAATGGTAAGGTGGGTTCATAGTTTTAATCCGTTAACTTGTTTTGGCTCGTCCTGCTTAGCCAATCATCCCAGTTGTCAAGAACAAGATGGGGCAGGCTGGCCCACTAGAGCTATCAAAACAGGCAGCTCAACCCAACCTAGCCTACCCCTATAGGCCAAGTAAAAATTTTGATAGTTCGACCTTCTATATTTTAAAATGGGCCAAAAAATTTAATCTAACCTGGTCCTGTGTTAGGTCAATGGTCTAACGGACCAAATTTTGCCATGATTGAATTATATATATATATATATATATATATATATATATATATATATATATATATCAATCAATTAAAAAAAATTTAAATTAAAAATATATTTTAAAAATTTAAATTATATTAATGAAATTAGTTTTTAATTAAGATATAATGATTTATATATGAAAATTGTAAGAGAATGTCATCCATTCTATCTCAAAATAGGAATTAAAAACTTACTATTTATTATCAATATTTATATTTTAGTAATTTATTAATTTAAAATAATAATTAATCTTAATCATTAGATCTTGGAATAAGTTATTATTAGAGATTTATTTTTATATTTACTTTTAGAATAAGTGAATATCTTGTCAAGTTAATTTATAATATATATATATATATATATATATATATATATATATACACTTTTTAATAAAATAATATTAATTTTATTTTTATTTATAAAAAATTATTATCATTTTATAAAGCGGGTCGATCCATAAGCCTACAGGCTAACCTGACCTAAGTTCATATAGACCATGTCCTAAATAGGTCAACCAAAAATAGACCCGATTTAGTTTAGGTCACAAATTTTTTAACCTAGCTTAGTCTATTTCTTGAGTCTTTCGAGTCAACCCATCGAACTAAGCTTATTTTGACACCCCTAAGACCTACTGGCCCCCTTTAAAAATGTTTATATATTAAAATAAAAATAAAAATAGTTATAATTAAAAATATTATTTTGTTTGTATCTTGTTATTGAAATAGGTAAATATAATATAATATAATATTATAATTTAAATTATAAATATTAGTCAATTAAATTTAAATTATTGATTATAATTAGTTATTTTAACACACAAATATAATGATTTTTTAAATTTATCTAATAAAAGTATTAATTAATAAAAAAAATTAAAAATAACTCATAGAATTAAAGATATATTTTTTAAAAATATATAAAAAAAATATTATCGAGTGGACTAGCTCGATCAGCTCGTCGACTGTCCTTTGACGTGGTAGACTAGGATATGTAGTCCATCATGACTATGACAAATATGCCTGCGTCATCCCATTTTTGATAAGCTAGAGACAGGATAGAGGAAAACGAGGTAGAGCTGCACTTGTTTTATCATCTCTAACTGGAGCTTGATTCATCAATTAAACAAAAATGGTTTTTCAACTTTGTGCTAAATGAATTTATGTTTGACTAAGAGAAATGTGAGTTAAGTTAGTTACTCATAATTCGATATTTTTACTTAACAAAATTGGTCTTTATCTATTAAAACGATAAAATCAGGAATTGACTTGTGAGTAATTTGCTAAACAAGAAACTGCCTACATGAATATTCAATAATGAAACTTCTTCTCTTCTTTAATCTATCATTCCTAATAAATATAAATAATTAGTTAAAATATATAATTTAATCAATAAATTAGATAAAAATATTTAATTACCTCTTATCAAAATTATATTAATAATAAATAATTAAATAAAATAAATATATACCTATTATATCAATAAAATGACAGTGAATTTTATCAATGTGGCGAAATGCATTTAAGTTTAAAAGAAATTATTGTTATAATCGATCATAATTTATAATTTGAATAAATTTGTTGAAAGAATTTTAAGAAAATTAATTTCATTTGGATACAACAAAAAGAAATATGTATGCAAAATTAAAAAAAAATGTTAAGTCATATACTTAAAAAAAATAGAAATTCTACCTCTAATCCCAAACATATAAGTGAAATTACTATCAATTTTTAAATTAAAAATTGTTAAAATATCTATAAATAAGGTTGTTGAGAGGATTGACGATAAAATTGCTCTCATGGATTATACTAATTTGATAACTACAAAAGAAAAAAAAATTATATATATATATATATATATATATATATATATATATATATATATATATAATATGAATTTCATGCATTGAATAAGCTTATGAATATTCTTATTTATTAATGAAGAAGAGATATTATAATAAAAAAATTATATTTGATGAGATATTTTTCCCTCAATCATGTCACATTTATCCCTATCTCTTATATAATTAGGATTGAGTAATGATCAGACACGGTCGGGTTTGGTCCAATCTCAACAATAAGTTGTTATAATATCCATATTTGACTGTTTTTTTCTATCAAATTAAACGGGTTTATATTAGGTGGATTACGAGTTGTCTTGGACGGATTATTCTATTTTGAACTAGACATTAATGGAAAGGAGAGTGTTTGGTCCCTTTTGTCGTAACTTTGTGTTTGCCGCGAAGATTACAATCCAAATGGTCCTCCAGTCTCAAACCACTCTTCCTAAATGAACATGGGCATTACTCATTTTAGAGTAGATTTCTTCCTATCTGGGATACTGCTCATCCATTCACTGTGTCAACACACCATTTCTACTGGTTAACATAGTTATGTATGTATTCCAGCATTAGTTTAGATTTTTAGAAGGCCTCCCCTGGAATATTTCAAACTAGTTAAACTAATTTCTGGAATAGAAACAATAGACTCATTTCTTTATTTTTTTTCACCCGTCAAATAGAAGCAACCCTCGCATTCATGAAGAAGCACTCAAACTTTTTTTTCTCTCCTTCGATAACTCAATTATTTTCGACTATGTTCAAATTCTGCATTTCACCATCTTGGTATGAGACTTCTGCTGAAATCCGATCTTGTTCACCCGATTAAATTCACCAGCTTTTCAAAATCTTTTATAGATTCTCAGGGATGAAAACATTATGCTCAGTCCTATATACAATTAAATCATATTACAACAACAAAAATTTAAATATGTTCCCAATATTAGTCTGAAATGTTATTCGCTCGAAACATGTCTGAAAATTTAAAAAAAGAAAAAAGAAACAAACTTACAAGCGTGAATTTACTAATATTTTTTCTCATTGAATTCTATACATATTTATATTTTTTTTAAATAATTTAATGAAGACAATTCTCGTTAGTATATAAAACTTTTAAATTTAAACCATCGGGTTATATAAAGATAATCAAGATGAAAAGCTATAATAGTATAATCACTTGAAAAATTCTTTCAACTTTTCAATCTGTACAACTCAAAAAGTGTAGAATATGTAGGATACTAAACACGTGTACCCTAGAAGGAGTGATGTAGAGACACATCCGATTGTACGTTTCCTTAGTTCCTGTTTCTCTTTCCAACATCTCCATTTTCATTCTATGTCGGGACAGTAAAAAATTAGTTAGCTATTCATGAAAGAGAACTCCTGAGAAGCAAACAACCACTTCGCAAATTCATCTGCAAAATAATTTAAGATATACGTTAAGATGGATAAAAATCCTAACATTTTTTTCCTCTGCCGCACAGCATACAAAAATGGAAGAGTTGGTCACTCTAACGAAATCTATTGATATCATATAGTGCATAATAATATCAATATAAAATAGTTAGAACTAATGAATTCAATTCTAAAACAAACATAGAAATAAGACTAACCAAAACAAATCCAGAGAAAATTCTGACTTCAAGTAAATGGAAAAACAAATCAAGCATAACATCATCCATTAAACTAAAATTATTTAAGATAATATACATGATTTCCATTACTTGGCCAATGATTTCTAATAACAAAAATTAAAACCAAACAGATTAGCATAAATTAACTTATATCTCTATTTAACAACCGAAATGAAGAGTGCATGGCTTCCCATATTACGTGGCAGATCACCACCGGAGAGAGTCAAGGAAAACCAAAATTACCTTCACAACTACTGGGTTACATCTCAATGATTTATAGCAGAGCAGAAAGGAGCCACTTGAAAAGGCCATGGTTGGCATGAAAGACTAATTTTAACAACACAATTTTGCCATTTACCAAGGAAATGCCTTCAAATTCATGGGTTTGTCTCTTGACATTACTCCTTCGGCATCAGCAATCATTTGAAAGGCCGGGGGGTATCATCTCCAAATGATCGTCAGGTAGGCTTCTTGGTCTTCTTTTTCGTTTTGGCAATAGCATCACACAACTCTTTTTTTCTTTTGTTGTTGTTTTGGTGTTCATTGCCACCCATGCTTCCTGAGTTCTTGCCTTGCACTTCTAAAGCCTCCTTAACAAAATATTTTAACCTCCACAAGGTAGACTCACTCTGCTTAAGGAACACAATATACATATTAGCATACTCACTAATGCAATTTGTGACGAACAGCTGTAATTCAATTTTTATTTATTTATTTACATTTTGAAAAAAAAAGTGAATGTCATGACACTTTGAAAGTTAAAAATAATTACCTGAGCATCTATGTCAAGATCCACCTCTTCTGCAGTTGCCTGGAAGCTTGGATTGTTTTGAGCAACAATTTCCAATGCTTTGCTTAGATCTTCAGGTGACAACCGGGTAAGAGCATCTCCAAGCTTTCTCTTTTCTTCAGTTGACATTTTTCTGCAAATAATTTTCTCAAATTAAAGGTAAATAGAAGAACATATTTATAAATATTACAAATAGGAATAAATTATTTTATTAACTTTTTTATCAAATAAAGACTTTATTTTATGATTGCATTATGTTTTTATTTTTTTTTTGTTGCTTTTAACTCTTGAATGTGCTTGTTAGGCACTTGTTACTGTTAACTTATGAAAATTATCATGTTTCCTAGGAATTTAATCCTTTGTTATTGGTATCTACTGTTTTTTAGTATCTATATCTTCTGTGTTTTTGGTTTTTTTATCTGTATTCAATTTTTTAGAGTGTGTATGTGTGTGTGTATTTGCTATGCTCCACCATCCGCCATTAACAACACTAGGTCACCCCACTCTGAGAGGGGGAATGATACGCCCAAAGGGTTGGAAGGGTACATGTCAAGTCTGTGGGGAGACGCAATCCACATCAAAAGAACAAATATTGAAATAAAGTAGAGCTCCTAGTTTTACAAGACCTGGCATCAAAATAGAGTCTGCAGAGGAGCTGAAAAGGAAACAAATCTGATGCCATGTTGAAACTGTAAGGTTTTAGGTATAGAGGGAGGAAAGGGGAGAAGAAATAGATTTATTATAATTTTTAGTCCAAAATATATCACAGGTTATATTTAGGATATGTTTTTCAGGAAACATATGATGCAGCAGCTAACCTGCATCTTTTGAGAACCACCTCTCGTAGCTCTTCCAGACTCACATCAACTTCATACAGCTGAAAAATACAGTGTACAGCTTAATCAAAAGTAGATATAGTCCAATACTCCCAAATTCATATGTATCTTTAATACACTTGAAGAGGTCCAAGGATTGTTAACTAAATTCGTGGACCCGTATTATACACTTGTTGTAAACCTCTTACAAATACCTCATTACTTAAATCTCTAGCCATTTTAGCTTGAGCTACTTCTTGAGCAACTTGCAATGCTAACTGCGCTTCAGCTTCTTCCTCTTCTCGTCTTGTTTCCTACAATTTAATGAACTCATGGTAACAGGTATCAAGAAAATGTTGTCAAAAAAATCTAAGAAGTTTTCATTGTGAAACAGAATCACGAAATTTCTCAATTAAGAATGTTCCATCTTACGCAACAATTGGTCTGAGAAAATAATTTAATTGAATTAAGTTACCTCTTCAGTAACTTTAGGCAGAAGTTGCAACCATTTCTCCTCAAACTTTGCCAACAAAGTTTTTGCCATCACATGAACATCACTTCTTTCGTCATTATATTTCATAGCATTCTTGAAAACCAGCCTCACATCAGCACATATTTCTCGAACATGCTTATATCCAGTACCATCCTTAGCCTCCATTTGATTTTTAATTGTACTGAAATCCATGGGCTTGTCAATTACCTAGCAAGCACCATATACAGAAGATCAATCAAAACATGGAAACAGAATTATATGGAAAATCAGTTTCCTCAAACACACTGCTGAATACAGTCAAGTGTCCATTCACAAGCACAGAAATGTTATGTATCGGTGTTTCAATGAGTTGGAACGTGATTCTTGTTGAAGTATTTATTAGATTAAGTGTATCTTGTTGGACATTTATGAGATTAGTTGTAGACCTAGTTCCTAGAAAGCATCTGTTTATCTTCTCTAGGATTAATCATGTCTCTCTATTAATTGTATCTCTGAATCTGTATTTTTATCTCCTATAAATAAGAGAACACAAGAAGATGATTGTAGGCTCTCAAAATCAGTTCTTTATTTTCTTTTTTCTATTTCAAGTTGGTATCAGAGCGGGTTCATCCCGCCGCTCTGCCTGTCTCTGTTTTTTTTCTGGCATTAATCGCCGTTCACCGCCGTCCGCCGCCGTTTGCCGCCGGTGCTGTCTTCTCCGGCTCCTTTTTCCTCTCTGACACTTGGGTTTGGCTCGCCTCGAGGAGTGCGACCCAACCCCAGTGTTCGCTTCCTCTATCTCTGCCTCACGCGCCGCCACGCGCCACCCTCGTCCGTGGCTTCCTCCGCGCGTGGGCCTCACGCGCCGCCCTCTCGGTGGCTGTTTTGCTCCAGGCCACCTCTATTCGGCTCGCCTCGTCGCTCTGGTGCCAGATCTGCACTTTGTTTTGTGTTCTCGGTCACAAAACGTGGTGGATCTGCGTTTTTCTCTCTGCCTCTCTCGGTCCTCTCTCTGACAGCACGCTGGTCTTTTCGTGTTTCCTGTAAAATGTCAGGACCTGTGTCTGTATCTTTTTCTGGGACTCCAACTATAACCACAGAAAAATTAAATGCAAAAAATTATTTGTCTTGGACTTCCTCTGTTGAGCTCTGGTTTCTAGGTCAAGGAGTTCATGATCATCTAGAAGAAGATGGAAGTACTATACCAGCAGATCAGGCTCCTCAATGGAAGAAACTGGATTATCAACTTTGTGCACTATTATGGCAATCTGTTGAACCACATATTTTGAGCACTCTTCGAGCCTTCAAGACATGTAATTCTTTTTGGAAAAAGGCTCAAAATATCTTTGCTAACGATATTCAACGACTTTATGATTCTGCTAATAGACTAGCCTCCCTTAAGCAAGAGGATAATTCCATGATGTCCTTTGTTGCTGAAGCTCAGTCAGCTGTTGAAGAATTAAAAATGTTCCTGGAGGCAGAATCATTAGAAGAAAGGAAGACGAAATTGGATAAATTCTATATGGTAATGATTCTTAGAGCTATGAATCCAGAGTTTAATCATGTTAGAGACCAAATTCTAACTGGAGAAGAAGTTCCTTCTATGGAGAGTTTAACCACAAGGCTACTTCGTGTTCCTTCTATCAAAAGCAAAAACAGTCAGGAACTTGCTGATTCTTCCGCCATGATTTCTGCTCGTGGAAGAGGTAATCACAGCTCTAGAGGACGTGGTGGGAAAGGACGTCCTCAGTGCTCTCATTGCAAAAGAATAGGACATACTAAGGAAAATTGTTTTGCTCTGCACGGCTTTCCTGATAAGGCAGCTAATACCTCAAAATCTGAAGTTGATGAGCCCAAGTTCTCTCATGAAGAGTATCAAGAATATTTAAGGATGAAATCAACCAATTTGGCTCAAGCATCTACAACACCAAATTCGTCAACCGCTTGCATTTCACAATCTGTGGAAAGTCAAAATCCATGGATTATTGACTCAGGTGCTTCTGACCACATGTCTGGTAATACCTCTTTATTTTCCTCTCTTTCATTTCCTAAAACATCCCATCTCATATCTTTAGCTAATGGATCTAAAGTAGCCTCTAAAGGAATTGGTCAAGTATCCATCTCTTCTTCTTTAAACCTTCAAAATGTTCTTTGTGTTCCTTCTTTTCCATTCAGTATTGTTTCTGTAAGCCAATTAACCAAATCATTGAATTGCTCAGTAACCTTTAATGCCAATTGTTTTGTTATCCAGGAACGTGGTACGGGTCGACTGATTGGAGAAGGACGTGAATCTGGAGGCTTATACTACCTTAGGACTAAGTCATCTGTATCTTGTGTTGCGTCCTTATCCCCAAAACTGTTACATGAGCGATTAGGGCATCCTCATTTAGCAAAATTGAAAAAAATGATTCCTGAACTTCAGAACCTTCAAACTCTTGAATGTGAATCCTGTCAACTAGGAAAACATACCAGGTCATCCTTTCCAAATCATTCTGAATCTAGATGTGATTCTGCTTTTAGTATTGTTCATTCAGATATATGGGGACCTAGTCGTGTTTCATCTTTTGGTTTTAGATATTTTGTTACTTTTATTGATGGGTTTTCTAGATGTACTTGGGTTTATCTTATGAAAGATCGTTCTGAATTATTGCCTATCTTTAAGTCTTTCCTTAATGAAATCAAAACTCAATTTGGAAAAGTAATCAAAGTTTTACGAAGTGATAATGCCAAAGAGTACTTTTCTAATGATTTTTCTAATGTCCTAAATTCTCAAGGCATTTTACACCAGTCCACGTGTCCTCACACACCACAACAAAATGGTATAGCAGAACGAAAAAATAGACATTTGGTTGAAACTGCTCGTACCTTATTGCTGGGTGCCAATATGCCTATTCATCATTGGGGAGATGCTATTCTAACTGCATGCTTTCTCATTAATAGAATGCCATCTTCTTCTCTTGATAATAAAGTTCCACACTCTATTTTATTTCCAAAGGAACCAATTTTTCATGTTTCTCCTAGGGTATTTGGACGTATATGTTTTGTTCATGACATGTCTCCTGGCTTAGATAAACTCTTACCTAGAGCTATCAAATGTGTCTTCTTGGGATATTCTCGTCTTCAAAAAGGATATCGGTGTTATTCTCCTGAAACCAAGAGGTACTACATGTCTGCTAATGTCACCTTTTTTGAATCATCATCCTTCTTCCCTTATTCTATGCAGGATATTGATTCTGTCCAAAATGTGTTTCCTGTTCCCTTAGTTGAATCAGTTGTACCTCCTATTCCTGACACCCCAAATCCCAACCAAAATACTCTAGAATTAGCATCACAGCCTATCATCACCTATCAACGCAGGAACCAGGTGAACAATCCCATTCCCCAAGATGAGCCATCCATAACAGGTCCTTCACCATCATCCTCTAATACCACGGCTCCTGATAACGATGACTCCAGTTGGCCCATTGCCATTCACAAAGGTACTCGTTCTACTTGTAATCCTCATCCCATTTACAATTTTCTTAGTTATCATAGATTGTCTCCTTCCTATTGTTCTTTTATTTCCTCGGTCTCCTCTATTACAATTCCCAAAAATGTGGTCGAAGCGCTTGATCATCCTGGATGGCGACAAGCCATGATTTCTGAAATGCAGGCTCTTGATCCCAGTAAATCATGGGAGCTTGTTCCTCTCCCTTCGGAAAAGAAAACAGTTGGTTGTCGTTGGATCTATGCTATTAAAGTTGGGCCCAATGGTCAGATTGATCGTCTTAAAGCAAGGTTAGTGGCTAAAGGGTATTCTCATATATATGGACTTGATTATTGTGATACTTTTTCTCCAGTAGCCAAAATGACCACTGTCCGCCTGTTCCTTGCCATGGCCGCCATTCGTCATTGGCCTCTTCATCAATTGGATATTAAAAATGCTTTTTCGCACGGTGACTTAGAAGAAGAAGTTTACATGGAGCAACCTCCTGGATTTGTTGCTCAGGGGGAGTCTGATTTGGTTTGTAAATTACGTCGATCCCTCTATGGCCTAAAACAATCTCCACGTGCTTGGTTTGGAAAATTCAGCTCTATTGTTCAAGCTTTTGGATTAAAACGCAGCGAAGCAGATCATTCAGTGTTTTATTGTCACACTGCCCCTGGCAAACATGTTTATTTAATTGTGTACGTTGATGATATTGTCATCACAGGGAATGATGCTTGCTAAAATATCACGACTAAAAGAGCACTTGTGTAGTCATTTTCGGACCAAGGATCTTGGAAATCTAAAATATTTCTTGGGTATTGAAGTAGCTCAATCAAGAGAAGGTATTGTCATCTCTCAAAGGAAGTATGCTCTAGATATTCTAAAAGAGACGAGTATGATTGATTGCAAACCTGTGGACAGTCCTATGGATCCAAATTTGAAATTAATGGCGGGACAGGGTGAAGTTTTCTCCGACCCGGAAAGATATAGAAGACTCGGTTGGGAAACTTATTTATTTGACGATTACTAGACCTCGATTTGTCTTTAGCAGTTGGTGTTGTCGACCAATTTATGCAAGCTCCTTGTGTGGATCATTGGAATGCTATCATTCGAATCTTAAGATACATTAAAAAAGCTCCAGGACAAGGATTATTATATGAAGATAAGGGAAATACCCAAATTTTTGGGTACCTGTGATGCTTGATCAGGCTGGATCTCCTATGGATAGGCGTTCCACTACAGGCTATTGTGTTTTCATTGTAGGAAATATCATTTCATGGAAAAGCAAAAAGCAAAACGTTGTTGCCCGATCCTCTGCTGAAGCTGAATATAGGGCAATGGCGTCTCTTACTTGTGAACTTGTTTGGGTAAAACAATTCTTGCAAGAACTGAACTTCTGTGAGATTCAATCTATGAAGATGTATTGTGATAATCAAGCTGCTCTTCACATTGCTTCCAACCCAGTATTTCATGAGAGGACTAAGCATATTGAGATTGACTGTCATTTTATTCGGGAGAAGTTGTTGACTAAAGAAATTTGTACTGAATTTGTTGGTTCCAATGAGCAGCTTGCAGATGCATTAACAAAATCTTTGAGAGGACCTCGAATGGAATTCATTTGTTCCAAGCTTGGTACATTCAATTTGTATGCTCCAGCTTGAGGAGGAGTGTTGAAGTATTTATTAGATTAAGTGTATCTTGTTGGACATTTATGAGATTAGTTGTAGACCTAGTTCCTAGAATG